ACCCAGAACTGACTTGCCCATTAGGCACAACAAGGTCTGACAGCACAAATCATTGTAGGTAGTAATCAACTCAAAGGATCAGCATTGGACAAAAAGCTCAAAATGGTCCTAAGGCCCATGATATTTTTAGGACCCACAAAATGATTTAATTTCTTTGAAAATTAAAAAAAAAAATCAACATTTAAGGTCAAAAAAAAGTTTTCATTTTTTTCACACATTAGGAAAAATGAGAATTTTAGAACCCCTGTACATCTATTAAATTATTTATTAATTTTTAAATAGAGAAAGGGACCCACAGATGCAGATGAGCCCAGGGCCCAGAGAAGTCATATGTGGCTCTGGGTGTGCCCTGATGAATTCATTGGTATGTCATTGGCTGAAAATTGTTGGGAGACTCTGGATGCCATACCAGCTATCCCTGATAATATTGTTTTCAATGATTATATTTTAAAATGGCCCATTACAAGGCCCAGGCTGTTATAATAATGCAAGGAGAAGACATATCCTGAAATGGCTATGACAGTCAATTTGGTCTAAGTAGGGTCTACATATATAAAAGACAATTTCTGTTTTGTTTTGTTTTTCCCCAAGAGCTCTCTGTATTCACAAGCACTTCTGCTAGCCACTAAAGCAAATAACTTCTGCTAAAACCTTTTCTACAAAGGTATATATAATTGCTCATCTTTTGCAATGCTTATGCACTTTATTCCCTCACCTAAATTGCCACAATTAAACAATTACTTTAACCAGTAGTTATATGAAGCCTGCCAACAATATGGTTTTACTTCATCAGCAAAATGTCTTTTAGTGATCTCACCAACTCATCCATATCAGGGACACTTGAAAATTTGCCTGCAAAAATTCACCTGCCACCAGATAAATATGAGATTTGAATGAATGAATCTGTAGTAGGTGCGGAATAAATGCTGATTGGTTGCTGACATCTTATATTCAATGTTGCTCTCTATACACTATGAAACGTCTTAGCAAAAAGTGACAATTTTAGACAATCGTCCAGCTTTTTATGAATGCAAGGGGTCTTAGCATCTCTTGGAAAGGTATCCAAACCATGAATAGAATTTTTCACCCTTCATTTATAAGTCCTAGAATTCCAAAGACACATTCCATCTGCCAACCGATTTGTGCTGGTATTGTTGATGCCAGTTTCAGGTTTAGAGTGTTTTAATTTCCCCCTGTCAAGGATTATTTGCTTGGATCTGCCTGCAAGCCAGTAATTTCCTTTGAGTACCTTTCCCTGTTTCCCATGTAGATATGGAGGTCAAGGAATGAGTTATTTTCCCCATCAGGTAGATCCATTAAACTTCAATAATTGGGCCACTGTAAACTTTGTCATCTGCTCATGAGGCCAAGACTATTCTCTGCTGGAATAGATGCAACTATAACTTTTAATGGCTTGGTGGGTTTAAAAATTATGCTTGGATTGTACAGAAGTCAAAGGCAATAGTCATGATTCCAATAGTGGCACTCCTCAAAGTAGTCCTTACAGCGTTATTATTCCTTTTTTCTTTTATTGTTCCCTACAATTCTGCTATTCAATACTTTCTGAAAGTTTAAACATTTATTAAATTAAGCACGATTTGTTGAGCACGGATTGCAAGATTAGCTTTCAATAACATATAAAGACTCTTAAGGTATGATCCCTATTCTCAAAAGTCTTATAGAGTAGCAACTTATGTTTTCTGTTTCCCCCCTGTGTCTCTTGTATTATACAACAGACTTGGTCATGAAGAAATGATTTTTTTCAATCAAATTTTAAGTGAACTTTCCTGGAATGTATTAATGTATAAGTACATCCCAAAATGTAGGCCAATATAATTTTCCCTTTATTGTATAAGGTTAAACTGTGAAGAAAGCCCTCCACTTTTGAGTGTTTTGTTTCAAGAGTTTGTAAGTCAGAGATTTGGACCTCAGAGTGCATTTTTACTCTAAAAATAATAATAGTCTTTCGGAAAAAAAGGTCAAATGTTTGATTATACAAAAATTCAATTCAATGCTACTAAATAGACCCTATTGCATTATTGATGAATACCTTGTGTGAATTTATAGAATGAATGTTTCTTTCTTTTTTTTTTTCCTTTTTGTCTTTTTTTGCGTCCAGCAACGGATCGCAACCCTCAGTGTCACGCCCGCACCGGACCGGGACTGGCAACGGGATCGCAACCCTTGGTGTTGCTCCCGCACCTCGCTCAGCCAGTGAGCGGGAACCGGTCTGTATGTGGGATCCGAACCCTCGGCGGGAGCGCCACCGCGCTCCCAAGCGGTGCACTGTAGCAGTGCGCCACCAGGCTGGCCCAGAATGAATGTTTCTAAATATTTGGATATTTGGCATCTGATTGACAAAAGAATATATGGGAGGAATAATATTTTTCAATTTTTAGCCAGTTATCTTGGCAGTTTGTAGACAATGCATTTATTATCACTGTTATGACTCAGAATGGTAGCTGTAGGGCTCCAATTTTTTAAATATTGATTTAAAAGTTTGATTTTTTTAAAAAAAGAGTCTGTTTGCCTGAGACAGTCTCCCTTTATTGAAAATGAAGGTATGCAATGTTCTCTTTAAGAGTAAACTTGAAATTCAGAGGAAATGGTAAAAATCTCAATCTCATCTTTAATTTGGTCATCTGTCACATACCTGGTTTCACACAGTCCACATATTCTATAAGTTTCTATTAATTAGGTCCCATTAAATTCTATTCTATTCTTCTATTGGCCCCATTAAATGGTTGTTTTAAGGGGTTTTAAAGAAATATAAACTATATGAAAATCAAAAAAAGACAGGCCAGTTTTTAATTCTTGTCCTAAAGAAATTCACCAGAGTAGCAATGATGATTTGAAAAACCCAACTATGGTACAGATGCCCATCTCAGAAAAACTCCACACTGGTTTTTAAATTGAATTTTAATCTACTTTGGAAGTCTACCAAAGTCAACCTGTTATAAAGAAGCTCTGAGTGAAGAAGAGGAAGAAAAGAGGTAGGTTGGTGAGAACAGAGATAGCTAAATTATGATCAAACCTAGTGGGCACTGTTTAAAAAATATGCAATTTAAAAATTTTCCTTGAAGAAAATTTTCAAGAATGGGTGCTTAGTATGACATACTGGCAAAGATGTATATCGAAGAGAGGGGTACCTTTTTCATTTACACTCTATCGTGATTACCTATTTGCTTATCTGACTTCCCCATTACTTTAAGGAGTAAGACATATTTAGTAATTTTCAAACTTGGCTGCACATTAGAATCACCCAGGAAGCATGTTAAAAATACAATGCCTAATTTAATTGGTCTACAGGATGAAGCCCAGGCATTAGAATTATTTAAAACCTACCATATGAGTCTAATACACAGCTCAGGGTGAGAATCACTGGTATAGAGTATTTCACTTAACAGCACAAACTCTGGCACATAGTAAATGTTGGATGAATATTACTTGGATACTTAAGTGAAGTCATGAATGTCTCCTCTATGAAACATATGGTTTGTATTTTTACCTTCACAGGTATGCTTCCTTTTACTGAGGAATGTACAAGAAAATTCACAACTTATGCATATTTGTGCTGCTTTAGATTATAGCATTTAGGCAGGAACTTTAAAAAAAGAGGATTTGGAATCATTCATTGCAAACATATGAATGCAATTTGATTTATTTTTTTTACAGTGGCTTCTCTAGCAAATTAGTGAGCTTTTATGCAATGGCTCCACAAATATCATCCTTAGTCTTTATTCAATGATAAGTTTAAGATGAAGCAGAAAAGTGTGTCTGTTAGCTTATAGTTCTGGTTAAGCAAAAGTAATAAACATGTGTATTCAAATATAAGATTCTTTTTGTGCCACAATTTTACAAATTTTAACTCTTTGCTTTATCTAGAAATCCATCTTTTCCCCCAACACATGTTATCAGGCTTGCTGAAGATATAGCATGTTCAGTGGTCAATTGCAAATGGCCTATTCTATGCACTCTACTTTTGAAGTGAACTCCATCACTGGACATATTTTGTATGAGGGCCAAAGGAGATAGTTTTTCCATGAATTATCTTCTGTCTTGAATAACTCATCACTGAATCCATATGTACTTTTTAAAAAGTTCCAATTAAAGAATCTTCTATTAAATAAGATTTGATTGGAGCTTGGGGATGAATCTCACTTCCTGTGTATAACAGTACAACTGGAATATTTAGTGTTTCTGTTACTTAGGACAGGCCTTCATAGTTGAACCACAGGAAAGGAATTGTACTCCTCTAGTAGAAGAGTAAATATGCAATAAAATGATTAACTTAAAGGGAAGATTAAACTGCATGTGTATTCCAGAAACAGAAATTCCTAGCTCAGGACTAAACTGTGTACTGCACCAGGAGTTTGTGCCTGTGTATACATGTTTTTACATGTGCCCACCATCTGGGTTATATCCATTAGTGGTCAAGAAATTAGAAAAATCTGTGGGTTTCACAGTTTCACATTTGAAAACTGTGTTAACTCCAAAGATACCTGTCCCTATCCCTAAACATCAATACAAGAGATTTGCAAAAAACATCCAATCTTATCAAGCACCATTTTATGTTCTAATAATTCCTCATAATAGAGAATAGAAGTGTCTATGTCAGCAAAATCAAATAATTTCCTGATCATGGACTTCAGTCATTACATATATATGCTGTGAGTATGCCTAGATCCATATTCCTACATCTAACAGTACTTAACCATAGTGTCTGACACAAAAGAGAAGCCTAAGAACTATTTGTTAAATTAATAAAAGAAGCAAGAAAGGAAGGGAAGGAAGAGTGAGCAATAGCAAGAGAAAAGCTGGGCTTATTTTAAGGAGGGTAATGAAGTTTTCCATCACTGGGCACAACACAATTCATTTCCACTAGCTTGTGAATCTTCCATTGGAAATATGTTGGGACATGTGGACTTCTTTTGAATATGAAAAAACAAGACATTTTAGCAGAAGGACTCTCAGAATTGATTCTGAAAGGAATAGCTCACCTTTTGTAATGCAGAGGCTTCCATTGACTGGTTTTCCCTCCTCATTGACATCTATTTTCATCCAGCTGTGGAGGTATTTTCTGCCCTTCTTGACCACTACCCTAGGGCCTTGTTTCTTGAGAAAGAAAGAGGCATTTTCCACCTCAAGGAACCCTTCCTGCTCATAGCAGGTCCATCGGGGTGCCTGGGAGCAGTGGGTGATGATGGCCACACGCAAAGGGCCACGAGAGGAATTGGAGATGCCCAGGCACAGCGCGGATTTAACATGAAGGAGCTTTCCATCCTCGGTCCACATCCACTGCTGGTTCTGGCTGGTCCCATTGCATAAACCTATGCCCACTTTCTGATTTATGAAAAGACACTGTTGTTTCTGGACATGGACAATCTGAAACCCTTCTGGAAGATGAAAAGCTCATAAAGTACTGTGTAGCAAATTATAAGGCCCATTAGAAAACAAAAAACAATTGTCCACAAATCAGCTACCTAAAAATACCAGATTTACTTATATTTTGCCATTGCTGTCATTTTAAGAGAAAATTCCCAGATTCAACCTGTGATTTAAAATCCCAAGGCTGACAATGTAAAATGTCACATTTAGCTCCTCCACCCCCTCTTTTTTTTACTTTCACATGGTTTAGGGAAGAAAACACGCCCCCATTGGAAAAATGAAAGCAAGCTTGGAAGAGAAACAAAACCATATGGTTTTCTTTTGGACGAGGAAAGCCACATCCAAAGAATATGGTGTGATAGTTTATCCCAATTAGTTAAATATGGTGAAGTTATGAAAAGCTCAGTTTCCTTTTAAACCATTTGGCTCTTTCTGTATTGCCTTCCTCCCCCACTCTAAAAAACACCCTCTTTTCCAATACTTAAGTTCACATTGCAATAAGTATTTGTATACAAATGACGTAGTTTGAAATTTTTTTTAAAACATTCTATGTATTTATCAAAAAATAAACACATTTCCCCACCCTTTTAATTAAGCACTAGCTCCTAGCTAATAGCAACCAATGACAGTATTGATTGTCACAAACTAAATTTCCTATCGTCCTGGAGAGAAGCAATTCTTTATTTTGTGGCAATATGTACAATTTTCCCTCAAATACTAATAGGTTAAAAAATTAGCATTTCTTGATGTAAAAAATTAAATATCCAGTTGTTAAACAACAGTATTAAAAGTGAGATATTCAGGATCAAAAACCAGCTTCTAGTTAAATTGCCCAGCCCTCCCATAAAAATATCCAGTCCCTGCAAGTGACAATTTCCAAATAAAACATACCACATTTCCTCACTCCCTTTAATCATATTTCTTATGTTTTCTTTCTTTAACACAAAAGAAAACAAAAGTATAACCTGATTGGAAAAAGGCATGGGGAATGCCACAGACTGTTACATAATAATACAAAGTTTCTCCTGAGCATTCTTCACTCTCTGCGGCTGTACAGATGCCATTTCAGGAGCTGCCCGAGGCATTTGGAGGACATGAGCAGAGCATTTATTTTCTTCTGGAGAGAAATTTCAACAGTGTGGGCACAGCTACCTCCTTTTATTCCCCCTTCTCATCGTCTTTGGCTAAACTGCCATGGAGACCTGGCTCCATTTCTGCCTTAATTCAGCTACTTTTCAAAGGCCAGAGACTCCTTGGCTGGATATAGGAGAAACGCCTCAGGAAACTGAGGCAGACCCACTTACCTGAGTTCCCGAAGATCACGCAGGTAAGAATCACCATGTAAAATCCAGCCTCCATTTTCCACTTCACAACTGTTCATGCTTCGCTTGGGGGGAAAAAAAATTCTCCCAGATAAGAGAAGCAGAGACTAGGAAGGAAATGTGCCTTCATGGTGGGGGGAAAAGTCAGTGACGAGCACTTCCTCCTATTGAATTGTTTGGGCAAGTTTTACACCAGTGTCCTTTTGTCTGTTTCCTTAGAAAGAAGGGATTATGATTACCTCTCTCTTTTTTTTTAATGTAGGAAAAATTCCAGCCTCCAGGAGCAGAATAAAACTGTTAAGGCTTCACCTACCGTCCCTTTGGCATGTGACTACTTCTTAACCTCAAGAGGGAAGAAAGGAATTGTAATCTTAGGTAATTGAATGTTCCTACAGCATTACATCTCTTCAGGTGATGTGATTCTGCTGAATAAACAAAAACCATGTAATTTATGAGGATCTATGACAAGTAATACAAAGACATAAACACGTACTGTTTGTCTAATGATATGCTGAGAGTCTATTGAGGAAAACCACATAATGATGGCATTTCTAGATCATTATCTCTCAAGTGATGACAATATTACATTTTGAGATAGTCATCTTCACTGGGGAGACGCAGAGACTAAAAGTAAACCCATCACATTATCTATGTCAGGCTTCCCCACACAGATAATGGCTTCTCTCCAAATAGGAAAAAAAAGAATATGCTTTACTCAATGTTTACTATTAAGAGTAGTTTATTGGCAGTATGAAACAAAGTCAACATTGCTGCATTAAAAATTCATATTTGAGCAGAAATCCATATTTGAGAATGTTTGTTGAGTGCAGTTATTTTAACTTTATTTGTCTTTTGAGGATTAAAACCTGTCAGAAATTTAAGGAAATACACGGCAGCATCCTTATGAAGAACCTCTGGAAATGGGACAGGTTACATCATTCCCAAAGGCATTTCTGCATTTTATTTGGAGAGAGATTCTAGGTAGACAGCATATTCAAAAATCCTTTCTTAGTAAAAGAGAGACAAATATTTAAAATTCTTGATACCTCATAGTTGGTATAAATTTGTTTTTCCCTTTTAAAGTAAAATGACTTACAATGTATAAATACAATGGATAGAGTTCTGGAGCAGAAGCTACCTCTATGCCCAATAATAGAGAGTAGATACATATATACTCAATGACAATCATTGTGCTCTGTAATTGATTGATAGGAGGTACTATAAATACACATTTAATAGATAATATTATCAAGACACATTTCCATATAAAATAGTTACTGCTTTTGATTTTTTTTTTTTCAAAAACAAAGACTTATTTGTTAAAAATCCATTATCAATCACTTGCAACTTAGCAGCAAGATTCTGGTAACTGAGAAAGGTAATAGCACTTAAACAGGAACAGTTTAACAGCTGACAGTCCATTCACAAGACAGATTTTGCAAACATTAAAGCATCTAAACACACAATAATTTCTTTAGCAGCTCTTCCAGTCATCACCTGGTGCATTTATCACTGAATATTACATACATACATTCTGTGTGGCAGATAGTCAATACAACGAAACAAAATCCACCTCAAGCTATGTGCAAAATCTATCATACCTCCATTAGCATAGGACCTTCAGAATAATTTGGGGGATGCTTACAAATGCATTCATATACACAAGGGACTGGCAACACTGAATCTATTGCCATATCTTCCACAATCCATGCCACAGTTGGCTTCAGAGCTTCCTTTTCCTTCCATTGCAGGAAGCTCCTTCTAGAAGCCTTGAGTGGGTAATTTGATTTCACCCAAAGAGATTGATGGTCTGGTATGTCTTCAGTGGATCACTGGACAGTTTCTGCTGAAAGTCTGCTCTCGTACAGGCACAGAGCATGATGCACAAATTCATACTGCTCACTGGTTTGGACCATTCCACCCCTGTAAGGGAGAGAGAATAAAATAACTTCTTTTTTTTGGCTAAAATCCTGCAATCTCAAGTAACAGACAGCGTTCACGCTCGGGTGTTATGCCAAAGACACACAAGAACAGTCAACCTAGTGATTCTTTTGTTATCCCTCTGAACTGTGCCCAAACGTCCCGTCTGGCAAAGTTAATATGTTGACTTACATAGGACTTAACACTGTGTTAAAGGACTTAACACAGTGCCTGGTACACACTAGGCACTTGATCAATTTCACATATGTACCATGAACTGGGGAGATGGTATAGCTTAATGGTTAAACACTTGGACTTTGGAATCAGCCAGGCTGAGTTCAAATCCCTTCTCTGCCGATTCTTAGCTGTGTGATCTTGGGCAGATTCTTTAAAACCCTTTTTTTTTTTTTTCTCAGTTTCCTTCTCTGGTAAAGCAGGATAATAATAGTAAGCTACTTAAGGTTGTTATGAGCATTACATAAATTCAGTGTAGCTGGCGTGTTAGTATTTCTTCTCAGGTACCTTACCATTCATCTTATGTTAAAATGGTTTGTACATTTGGATTAAAATTGGTTGAAGTAGGTTAATCAAACAAAACTTTATTGTAAGTGTTGCTCTTTCTACAAGTAAAAAGAAAGTCTATCCTGGAATGGTTTGAATGTGTTGTACAGAAGCAACCTTAGTCTTTGGGAGTGTCGGGTATCTAAACACAGTAATGGGTGAGTCCTTAAATGAGTTGGAAAAAGGGAATTGGCTGTCACCTTTTTCCCTTTGTTATCACCATTATCATCACTAGCCGCTCAGCGTCCCCTTTGTCACTGGATTAGCAGAAGGCAGCTTACCTTCATGAGAAATAACAATGTTTCTCATTACACTTTTATGTATACATTACCTATATCATATTTTGCTCCTTTATAATCATGGTTCTTTAGCTTGACAAAGTTAGCAGACATTAATATAAATGTTACTTATATTTTCTGCTCACTGAATAACAGCATCACTGTTAGTAGCTATTTGAAGTCTGTAAACTCTTCAATCGTACAACTAATTTTACATTTTAGTTTGGTTCTCTGTTTTAGCTGGTTTTTCCTAGTGGCTGTTAGTACCATTCAAAATAATTTTCAGATCATTTAAGCACTTCAACTCAAAACCAAGATATATTGCTTCACTGTCATGTGACTTCTGGTTAATGGTAATAACTAAAACTGGGCTTGCATCTCTGTTTATTTGTCAACCTTGGTAAATATTAAAACAGCAAGACTTCCCCCTCCTGAACAGTGATTCCCCAGGCAGGTCAACATCATGCCAAAATGATGTATTTGGTAAGAAATAAAGAGGTAGATTCACAGTTTTTGGTGACAGCAATTAATCGGCAGCAATACTTTGTTGGTCTTTTTCCCTAGAACTGAACATTCTGTGGTATTGAAGGCAGCATTCTGGCCAAAGTGTTTCTTAGACAGAAGCTGACAACAGAGAAGGCCAGCCAGGGATGTGACAACTCTTTCTCTTCTTAGCTGTCTGGTGACATCTGGGCACACCTAAAAACACAGCAGGTGTCCAGAAGATGCTGGCTTGGACAGTGGAGCTTGGGGAACACAGACACAGTAAATATTAGGGCAGCTCCAGGGAATTGAGAGGTGCCTCCCTGCCTCTGTATCCACCCACCCTGGGGAGCCCTTGCACCTCCCTTGAGCTGTAGACGGTATGTGGAACCTTGTAAGCACTGCCCCTCCTGGGCTTTGGTCACTGAACTTCCTCTCACCATTTACCTCACTTTGTGGCAAGGTTTTCCCCTTCTTGTATGTTCTTGTCAGCACCGGTATTGTCCAACTGGCAAGTGAATGGAGACACAGTCTAGGTTTGAATAACCATTTTACTGTAAGTGGGTCAGTGGTGTATTTTAATGGTTGGAGCGCATTTACTATGACATCCTGTTAACTAAGTCAAGGTTGTTTCAGCCAGTGAAGGTGGGGAAGATGGGGAAACAAACTCATTAGTTGTAGGCTAGCAAAATCCTTGTGGGTCTGAAGGCTTCAGGAAGGTATATGAAAACTCCTGTTACTTTCCACTTAATTTGGAAAATACAAATGAAAGAATTGGCATCAGAGGGATCTTCAGAGATTGTTCACTGCAATTGCTAACAAAATACAGGTTTTCCAGAAGGAAGCGGTCTATGTGACAGGTGGTCAGCTAGCTTCTGCTGAAATGCTCATGAGGTGAGGTACCTTTAGTAGCAGACTTTCCTGAGGTTGTCAGGCAAACTTCTGAAGATATCAAAATGAATCTGTCCTTCTCTAACTTCCACCCCATTGGTCCAACTGAAATAACCCAAAAAAGTCTTTAGGCTTCCCTTGTAGTCACACAATAGCTCTTTAAATGCTGGAAAACAACCATCAAAGTCCCATAATCTTTTCTTCTCTAGACTAAACATCCTGTGGTCACTCAATATTTCTGTACAGCCTGGTTTCCCTGCTACTCACCAATCTAGTCTCCCTCTTGTGTAGGCTATTTTATTAAATATGACCTTCTTGGAGTGTTGTGTTTGCTCCCAATGAGATCTAGTCAGTGGGCATATTTTCTCCTTTGAGTTGCACATTATAAACCAATGAGTTTGCATTTGCAAGTGTATCAGATGGTAAGCACAATGCCTACATGGTGCCTGGCACTCAGAAAGCATTTTATGATATTAAGTGAAGGTGTACGTTAATTAAAAAGTCAGCAGGATTTTTTTGAATGTGAAAATTACATTTTTCTCCCAAATTGTACTTATGTTATTAAAATTTTGAAACTAAATGCAGAGCTTTCTATTTATTCCTGTTAGTTTCAACTTGTTAGTTGTTTACTGAATCATTATTTCTATCATTCAATATAGTAGTCTTCCCTTTCTCACTCCCAGCATAATATATTCCAGATAATTAATGAGGATACCTTACATATTTTTATATGTCATTTATTAAAAAAATAGGAAAAGACAGGGCCAAGGTAGGGTCTTTAAAGCAATTTGACATCATGTTATATTCTGTCTAATCCCATTCTAAAATTGTTTCTGAGCAGGTTGCAGGTCCTTTAAGGGTAAGCATAATATCATAGTCTTCTCATATTTGCCACAGAAAAAAGCACGTACTAGGCCTAGGTAAATAACTGCTAAGTAGGTTACCCAGGCCATGCTACTTTTATGTCATGTGAAAACAGATAAACTCCATGCTAAAAGAAAGCAAAGATTATCCCAGGATGCATTCACTGGAAACTGGTTCAAAATTAGGAGCTCAGCACAACCATCTTTGAATATATTTAATAAATGTCCTATTGCATATATTGATATTTGGAATACTCTGTTGAACTTTGTAAGAATTTAAACTATAGGATTACCCTTCAGATTTTACTCCATTATAGGGTGAATAGAGTTTTTTAATCAGCTGGCCTTAATAAAAAATACCCAAGAAGCTAGTACAGTGCCTGTATACAAAATATATTTATAAAACAAATGAATAAAGATAGATTAATTATGGAACTCTCAAGAGAGCCCTGTAGTAATTCATCCTCCAGGAGAGCTCTGACTAGGTCTCCAGGTACCTCTTAGGCAAGACAGGGCTCCATAGATTTGCTGAAATTTGGATCTATATGATTGATACAAAGTTCCTAATGCAATCTGATTCTGGAAAGTAAGAAGCAAAGATGCTCTTTTTCTTACTATAATAAGCATCACCCACCTCTCATTTAAAGAGCCAGCACTAAAATAATCCTGACATCCAACAGATTATACTTTAGACTCAACCAAGGTCAAGATTTTAAAAGATTTCCATAACAATCAAGATGATGTTTCAGTGGAGAAGGCCTATGGGGCCAAAAATGGCTGAACCATCATCAATCATACAGAATGTCTGAAATTATCACCATTATTCAACACATTGTATTAAAGTACCAAAATTAAAATAGAGAAATGTCTGAAAAATTCCTGTGTAAACAAAACCAAAAGCCTTAACATAGCCTTAATCTTGCTAAAATTGCAAATATAAAAGACATTTAACTTGGATTCATAGCTGATAAATGCTTATGTTAGATAGAACTAAAACTTAATCCCCACCAATCATAAGCAGCCAAACTAACATATGATTATGTGACTAGGGACTTTCCAACAAAGTACCTAAAACCAGTC